TCGGAGGGACCGGTGTGTTCGGCAGCTGTGGCTACAGTGTAGCTCCTCACAATCAGTGTGTGTGTGGTTAGAACCAAGATTTGGTGTAGTGCTGAAGTCCTCCCACTGATAGAATTACAAACTTCTTATCTGGGTGTGACTTGGCTCAGGCTTCTCTGGATCCCTTCTCTGATGTGTACAACTGGCTGAAATTCCCGCCCACTCACCTGCACCAGGTGTTCCAGCACTGATGGGAGAACCACGTGGATAGACAGGAAACAACAGATGGAATGTGAGGAACAAATCACGAGGGGAAGCTGGTTTGTTTGTATTTCTGGGTTGGCTCAGATGTGGGTTTTATGATCAGGGCGGAGCGTCTGAACATCATAGGTATCAGTCAGTCGTCAACAGGAAGTTTTCCTGGCTTTGATGTGTTAAAATCAGCAGGGAGGCAGAAGACAGACGAGTGAAGTAATGAAGTAACATCAGGAATAGACTATACAACTGTGTTGTAGTAATAATAAGTAAAAAGGGCCTGTATTCATATAGCACCGTCTTATGGTTTTACAACCCCCCAAAGCACTTTATAACACAGCAATCCATCCATTCATACACGCATGAACATGCTGGTGATGATGAGCTATGGTATAGCCACAACTGTCCTGGGGCGCGCTGGTGAGAGTGAAGCTGCCGAGCACAGGCGCCACCGGTTCCTCCCACCACAAACCTGCAACCTTCCAATGACTGGACAATCCACTCTACCTCCATCCATCTATCTATCTATCTATCTATCTATCTATCTATCTATCTATCTATCTATCTGTCTGTCTGTCTGTCTGTCCGTCAGTCATCCAGGGTCGGGTCGCGGGGCAGCAACCTTAGCAGAGTGGGCCAGACTTCCCTCTCCCCAGCCACTTGGACCAGTTCCTCTGGGGGAATCCCAAAGCATATCCTGGCCAGCTGCAACACACACACACACACACACACACACACACACACACACACACACACACACACACACACACACACACACACACACACACACACACACACACATACACATACACATACACATACACATACACACACACACACACACACACACACACACACACACACACACACACACACACACACATACACACACACACACACACACACACACACACACACACACACACACACACACACACACACACACACACACACACACACCCCTGGAGGATCACTGACTAAATGTATTGACATCAGAGTTTACGTATTGAAGCTGTCTGGTGTTTATATGAATCTTTCCACAGAAGCTAACATTCATAAATGAAACATGAATCAGTCCCTTTTCAAAAGAGCACTTCTACATTTCATTAGTTTAGTTTTTTAATAAACAATCTGCACCTATAAACAAGAGGAGACTGCTGGAGATCAGAGGTGTTGGTGCAGATCGCTGTTGTGGTTCAAAGCCATTCAGAGAGAAACCATCTGACGGCGTCCAGCTGGGAGGTTTCCTCCAGACCAACGGGATTTACGAGTCTGAAGCCAAAGAAAGTAAACATCAGAGGAGATGTATTTAACTCAGCGGTCAATGTGCTCTGGAAGTGTTGGAGGAACAAATAAAAACCTGTTTAACCACGTTTGTGTGTTTTTCCTGGCAGATGAGCGTGGACCACTGATGCGACGTCAGCGCTATCACTTCAACATCAGCTCCCTGGAACCAGATGGGCTCCTGGGGGCCGAGCTCCGCATCCTGAGAAAGCGCCTATCTGACCCCCGTTCAGCTTTGAGGAGCTCCACAGCTTCTGGGGGAGGAGGAGGAGGAGACTCATCACCATGCCTGAAGCTCTACTCCTGTTCTTCAGGAAAACAGAAACCTGCTCTTCTCCAGATAAAGACTGTGGAGGATCTATTTACTGGATTTGGCAACAAATGGGAAGTGTTTGACATCCATAAAGTCTTCAAGGGGTTCAGACCCCATCAGGACCATCAGCAGCTGTGCATTGAGCTGGAGGCACTGGGGCACAGGGCGGGGCGGCCTCTTGACCTGAGAACTCTGGGGTTCTCTCGGCTCGGCAGGACCAACAAGGAGAAAGCCTTCCTCCTGGCCTTTGGCAAAAGCAAGAAGGGCGACCTTTTCTACAATGAGATCAAAGCTCGTCTGGGCCACGACAACAAGACCGTCTACGAGTACCTGTTCACCCAGAGACGAACAAGGCGGGCTCCCATTTCCAGGGGGTCTAAGAATCCTCCCCATAGTCCCACCCAGACTTCCCCCCAGCACCAGGTAGAAAAGAAGAGGCCACATTGCCATCGGAGGAGACTCCATGTTAACTTCAAGAAGATGGGCTGGGACAACTGGATCATTGCTCCACTGGAGTACAACGCCTACCACTGCGATGGTGCCTGTGACTTCCCCATCCAGTCCCACCTGGAGCCCACCAACCATGCCATCATACAGACCATCATCAACTACAAGGCCCCAGAGTCTACTCCACCCACCTGCTGTGTCCCCACCCGCCTCAGCCCAATCAGCATGCTTTACAGCAACTCAGACAACAACGTGGTCTACAAGCAGTACGAGGAGATGGTGGTGGAATCGTGTGGTTGCAGGTAGCAGACTGGACGCAGTAGCAGAAGTTCCCCATCAGAGATGTGAATCATCAGACTGCATCCCGAGGACTTAAAAGACTAAACAGATATGATAATAAGTCCAGAACGCCCACTCAGATGGTTGATGGGCCTGAGGGAAGCCAGAAAATAAAAACAGACTAAAGAAACATCTTTATAGTTCTGCTTAGATGTTTATCTGTGTGCTGATTGGTGCCAAACCCTGGAAGACACTATTGGAATGTGAAGTGAGTTATGTTCAGAAGTACTTATCTGATGGAGACGTTTGTCTTCTCCAGGACTTTTTTAAAGCATGAGAAGAATCTGTGATGTATAAATACGACCGATGATAAAGTGTTTATCTGACCCACTCCGAATGTGGGAACGCTGTTAGATTAGTCCTCAATAAAGAATGTTCATCTGACTGGGATCCAAACTCCTATCTGTGAACCAAACACACACACACACACACACACACACACACACACACACACACACACACACACACACACACACACACACACACACACACACACACACACACACACACACACACACACACACACACACACACACACAACATATATACAATTAGTGTTACTATCATGGTTATTATGGCTACATTGTGATTTGTTAGTAAATATTCTATTTTGTAAGAGAAAACAGAAATAACTCTGGATAACCTAGCCTTTTAGATGGAGGCATGTTGGAGGGAGGGCAAGGGAGAGTCGTCTTTACCGACTGTACATTCCACCTCCCTCTACTCCCCCACTTGTCCAGGTCTGGGCTAACATCAGATTTTAACCATAGGCCCTATCAAATAAAAATGTTTTGAGCCTAGTCTTAAAAGTAGACAAGGTGTCTGCCTCACGGACTAAAGCTGGGAGCTGGTTCCACAAGAGAGGAGCCTGATAACTCAAAGATCTGCCTCCCATCCTAATTTTAGATATTCTGGGAACCACCAGTAAACCTGCAGTCTGAGAGCGAAGTGCTCGGTTAGGAATGTATGGAATTAGGTCACTGATGTATGATGGAGCTTTATTATTAAGAGCTTTATATTTGAGAAAGAGGAACTTAAAAGCTATTCTGAATTTAACAGGCAGCCAATGTAGGGAAGCTAAGGCAGGAGAGATATGATCTATCTTTTTAATTCTCATCAGAACTCTAGCTGCAGCATTTTGGACAAGCTGAAGACTTTTAACTACATTCTGTGGACTTCCTGAGAGTAATGGATTACAATAATCCAGTCTTGATGTAATAAATGCATGAACTAGTTTTTCAGCTTCACTCTTGGAAAGGATGCATCTAATCTTAGCAATATTGGCCTGTATTAGCATAGCGCCTTCTTAGGGTTCTACAACCCTCCAAGGTGCTTCACAACACAATCAGTCATTCACCCATTTACACTGCACACTGACAGAGGAGAGGCTGCCAAGCACTGGTGCCACCAGTCCCTCCGACCACCACCACCAGGCAAAGCGAGTTAATTGTCTTGCCCAAGGACACAACGGCAGCATTCTCTGGTTGGAGCCAGGATTGAACCTGCAACCTTCTGATTGCTGGACAACCCGTTCTACCTCCTGAGCTTCTGCTGTCCCAAGGTGGAAAAATTAAACACTACAAACCTGTTTAACGTGGGATTTGAATGACATGTCCTTGTCAAAGATAACACCAAGGTTCCTTACTTTGTTCTCGGAGACTAATTTAATGCCGTTCAGGTCAGGTGAGAGACTAAGCAGTTTCCTTTTCTGAATTTCGGGTCCAAAGATAAGAACTTTGATTAGGTTCATCAGGGTTAATGGATAGACATAACCGAGTATCGTCAGCATAACACTGGAAGTTTATCCCATGCAGTCTAATGATTTTACCAATTGGGAGCATATATATAGTAAAAAGAATTGGTCCATGTCATGACTTCCAATCCTTCACCCTCCTCTGCCTCCTCATTCAGTCTTTATGCAGCACAACTGGTTCCTCTCATTTAGCTCCAGCCACGCCCTGTTTTCCCTAGCAGCTTCAGTCTGCACCTCATCAACTCCATTCATCTCACCTGTTCCTGTCATCAGCTTCATCCACTTCACCTGCTCCTGACTCCTCAGCTCATCACTCACACCTGCTCCCCCTGCTATATATTCACCAGTCAGCCGCCAGTTCCCTGCCAGATTATTGAAAGCCCACTCAAGTAAATCTTCCAGCCATTCACCCTGCCTGATCTCAGCCTCCGGACCTCATTTTTGCTCCTGACCCCTGTCTTGAATTCTACCTGCCACCACGACCTTCGCCTGTCTCCGACTCTGTCTCCAGCCTCGCCCACCTCTGGTAACTCCTCAGAAAATAAAAGACTTTTTATCTACTTTTACTGTGTTTGGCGTCTTCACGGGTCTTCTGAAGTTCTGATCGTGACAGTCCAAGCACTGAACCCTGTGGTACTCCACAAGTAACCCTGGAATATGAAGATTTGTCATGCACATTTAAAAAATGAAATCTATCAGACGGGTAGGATTTAAACAAGCCTTTCTAAAAGAACATTGTGGTTAACTGGGTCAAAGGCAGCACTGAGATCTAACAAGACTAGAACCTAATAACCTTGACTTCTACAGAACCATCTTCAGCATAAAGAAGAACAAGAAGTCCTGGAAGTGCTGGTCTGGCCGCCACAGAGCCTGATCCACCATCATGGAGCATGTCTGGGATCAGATGAAGAGACAGACGGATGTGAGGAAGCCAACATTCACAGAAGATCTGTGGTTAGATCTCCCAGATGTTAGAAACATGTAATCACTGGATGTGAGGACCCAAACTGACAACTGCACACTGTTTAACTAAAAGCTTACTCCTGCAGGAACTCAAACAACGTTTTTCATGGATTTTTCTCCTAACAGATGATCCAATATGGCTTGGCTTGGGTCAAAACCAGGGAGGTAAAGAGCCGAATCATCCAATAACGAGCGGGCAGAAGGCTGGAGTCAGAGATCAGATCTAGGGCCATGAACCTTTCTTGGCTGCTTAAAACTTTTGCTCAGTACTATAGAGCAAGAAGGATGATTCAAAACCATCCAAGCAGACAGGACGTCCAAGAGGAACTTCTCTGCAGCCAGACCTGGGCCCTGTGGCATGGGGCTGAGGATGCAGGAGCTCCTGGTGGCAGGGGCCTCACATTGCAGGAAGACATTGATGCCAGCTGGAGAAATCAAGTCAGACCTTTCAGTTGATAAACTGGTAAATAAAACGTCTTCATTGTGAATATCAATCAGGACCCAATCTGACATCTCTGTGGGAGTTATTAATATTTTCTCTTGCAACCTTGAACTTTCGACACTCTTTGTCTGGTTTTCACCCACAGAATTCCAACGTTGGAGAAAAAAAAACAAGTTCCAGCTGAGATGAGGGGCTTCCATGTTTTATCCAGCTGAGTGAGTGAAGCGGAGCCTGAAGAACCAAAACATGAGCTGCCGTCTGAGTCCTCCTGTTCCTCACTGTATATTTGTCCAGCACAGAGGAAATAACTTCTTCTTCCTACAGCGTTCTCATGGCGACACCTTTAGTGCTTTCAGCTTCCTGCTGCGGTGGTTCTGCTCATCAGCCAGTGGGCCGTAAACCTCGGCCCAGTCCGGAAACTCCAGACGGAAAACCGTTACAGGTAATTAGACCCGAAGCTTCAGCCTAAAGCGGGAGTCAGAACATATGCACACACACACACACGTACGCACACACACACACACACATACACACACACGTATGCACACACACACACACACACATACACACACACGTATGCACACACACACATACACACACACGTGCGCACACACAGGCACACACGCATGCACACACACACACACACACGCATGCACGCACGCACACTCACAACGTTTGGCTCCATCGAGGCATTCCAGACGATAATTTGTTTCCTTCAGATTAAAGGCTGAACCTCCGTCTGTGTGAAGATGAGGAAACATTCCCGTGTCCAGGGGTTGGTGCACACCTGGATCAGACCTCATGATGGAAATCAGGTGCAACAGTTGTTTCCTTTATCGCCTAAATACCTAGAAGGTCAGCTGGGGGGTATCCCCATCAGGAAACCAAGTCCGGAAAGGTCCGTTCTAGCTGGTCTTCCTGCTTCCTCTCCGATGGAAAACAAATGACCTTTCAGCTGATTGGGAAAGCTGTGAAGGACCTAACATGTAGTCCAGTTACACTACGGTTCCTCTGGTGAAAATATGAAAGTAAAAGTAGTTATTAGTGTTTGGTGCATTAACTTTGATAAGTTGTGTAATAATCAGTGAGATTACTGAGTGGATGTAAAAACACGGCTGCGACTCTTGTGCAAAATGCTTGATGATGACCTCGCTGTCTGCTACACTCAGGCCTTCACCACCACAACACCACCGTGCTGTCGGAAGGCAACCAAACATCTTTCCGTACCTCTACCTCACCCACAAGAACTCCCGTGTTTCCTAGACCTCCCTGTTACCTGTGAAGTTCCACAAATCTTCCAGCTGATTTATATGCAGTTTTCATAACATAGTGTGCATTGTCCCTTTATGGTAAAAAGTGGAGGCAGGATGTGATCCACACACCTGAGCCGTGTGTCAGCAGAGTCACAGGTGGGATAATTACTTTGTGTTAGTAACTTTTTCTGTAGTAAGGAAGCTACCCTAACCCTAGGTTAGGGTTAGAGGCTTTCTAAACTCACCTACTTGATTAAAAGAGCTGTGTTCAACTTCAGAGGAAGGACTTGTTCTTCCAGGCACAGGTTGGGTCCTTCCTCGAGTGCTAAGACCCACATTTTGAACGTCTAGCCTTTTGACTTGTTTCCACCGTACATCACATAAAAGGTAGTTTTCCACGAGTACTAGTCAGAGTGACTTGGATCAGTGCAGCTCAGACCGACCACCTTTTCCAAGAGTATGGTTAAGTCCCGTCTCCCCAGTTTCTGTGTTAATGGCTCCCACCTGCCTCTCGTTATCCCAGTCACTCAAATTCCCAGCTCCTTGTGTTTTTAAACCCTCTAAGTCCTGTGTGTCGGTTCATTGTTTCAATGCCAGTGTGCTCTGCTTTAAAACCTTCAAACTTCCTCACCAGCCTGTGGATCCTCACCTCTAACTCAACAGCACCCACTGCCTTTTCCAAACTTGCAGTCCCTGCGTCGTTGAGACCCGGTGAGCCTGAGTACTGAGCTGCTTCAGGCTGAGTTGTGCGTTCGAAAACCAGCTAATGTTTTGCCGCCCAGCAACTGTGACAGCGCTACTTAGAAGTAAAACTGAACTTTGCAGCAACACACTAAGAATATCTGAGTGAAGGCATGATTTCTGAGGTGTTTTGGTAATGCCCTTTAAATGTGCCAAATTCTGACTTGTATAATCAATGAAGTTGATTTGCTGGTGAAGGTTCTCAGTCATCCAGGTCATGGTAATCCAAAGG